AAACCCCCCCCGCTGGGCCGGCCCCCCCCCCGCCCCGCCAACGGCAGCGCCCTCACAGGCAGCGCGGCCCGCGATGGCCTGCGGGAGGGCACCCGGTGGCGGCCGGAGGCCATCACGGGCGAACCGGCATCACGCACAGGGGTCTCCCACCGCAAAGAGCGAGGTCTCGCAGCGAGACCCCCTCCCGCACCGACTGTCCCCGTCCCAGCCCTCCTTCTGGTGGGCGAGGGGCGCCATCTTGCCTCACTCCCCTCCGAGGGAGGCAGCCGCCCTGGCTGAGGCGGGTTGCGAGGGAGACGGAGGCAGGGATATTTCGGGAAGGGGGTTTGGGCCCTCCAGAGGGACGGGAATGGCGGTGCCACCTCCAGCCAGGCGCCGATGGTTGGTACAGACAACACAGGTCAACCACCCCGAGAACTGGATGTAGGAGAAGCGTGTGGAAAACAGCGCTTAAGAGTTTCAGAAACACCCCTAACTTCATTTTTAATAGTAATCTATAACCATATAACCCTATGATTATTTTTAATAATAATCTACGACCATAACTGTATTTTAACAAAGGCTTTTCTGCTGGGTGAATTGTCCTTCTCCCCATTCTCTCCCCCCCCCCTTAAATAAATATTTGTTTCAATTCTTTAAACACAGTCAAAGGAGCAGATCACTTTACTAGAAAACTGTTTAGCTTAGTGGTCAAGGCTCTCTCCCAGGGAACAATTTAACTTGCTGGTCCAGGCTTCAGTTATCCAACATTTGAGGTTAGAAGTTCAAGGTTAAATTTGAGGAATGATGGCTCTCCCTGTGTTTAGCCACGAGGGTCAAAAACGTCAGGGGAAAAAAGAGGGGGGTCCCAAGAGCAGCGACTGTTGCTCTCTAGGTGTATCCTTCCCAAGGAACCCTACCCCAGGAGACAACTCCTTTGGCAGGTACTTGGCAGGTCAGGGGTAGGTACCACACCCCCCAGCCCTAAACCCAAGCTGTCCAGCATCGCCTCCTCTCGATCCTGCCTCCAGCAGCTCTCTCCAGCTTTGGAAGACCAAATGGGAGTGGAAGGAAGATAAAGGCTTTGGCTCGGTGGAGGTGACACATTCAGAAAGTGAAAAAAGGTTGGTCCCTGGGGAGGAAGCTCTTCTAATCCTCCATGGATTTGCCGCTGCTAAGACCTCCTGCAGGAGGGCAGCAAGCAGCACCTTCCCGAGAGGAGGGGACAGGCCCTTCTTAAACCAGCGCCTGGTTTTGACAAGAGCAATGTGGTGGTGACAGGAGGGGAAAGTGACAGCCACAGGTCTCGGAGACAGACTCTCCACCAAAGCAGCCCTCAGCCTGGCCAAAATATGCAGGTGCACAGATATGACGCATTTCATACCAAAAGGGAATGCAGTACGACCCACCCGGCCTTGGCCAAAAGGCCTGATTTTTTTCAATGGCTTAGCCCCACTCTAATATCTTCCAGTCTTCCTGGGAGAGTCATAGGCATCTGCAAAGGAGGAAGCCAATGACAGCTTCAAGCAGGCTAAAAGAAAAAATAATAACATTTCCAACACAAGTTTGATGAGAAATGTTGGATGCACTTCCACAAGGGCAGACCTTGAAGACCATTGTAAATATTCAAGCAAAGGCTTTGCAGAAACAGGCATCTTTCACCCGAGCAGCAACTAAAGGTGGCTTGGCTGGTCCTAGAAGGAACCATGGCAGCATACTTGTAGAAAAATCAGACAGAAGAATAATAGCTGCCAAGTTGGCTTCAACATGGGGAATGTAAACCAAAACAATCTAGAAACGACTTGGCCATCCTGTCAAGTGAGGACATCAGGAACCCTGCGAGGTTCTCCCGGCTGCTCAAACAGGACAGGCGGATTCTGGGGAGGAAGACGCACCGACCCAGA